TGATGATGCGGGGCGACGGGGTGCGTGGGGAGGAGCCCCGAGCCCCAGTACAGGGTAAGCACAGACCCCCCCAGCTCCCATGGAAATGGGCTGAAAATCTGGTGACTCCCCCCCATCCTACACCCGCAAACAGGGGCATCTCCATCACAGGCATCTCTTGAAATACACAGGGGTGAAGAAGCTGAGGAAGAAGAAGGAGGAAAAGGGGGAAGAGGAGAACTACAAGGACCCCAAATTCACCAAGGAGCCTCGAAAGAAAAAGGAGAGCCCGGCCCCCCGCTCCCGCTTGGTCAAAGGCCCCAAGAAGCAGCAAGGTGGGGGGATAGCACCCACCCCTCTGCAGGCACCTGCTCGTGGCACCCCCATGTCCCCATCTACCATGTTCCCATGCACCACGTCCCACTGATGCCGTCGATGCTCCCAGTGTCTGCAGGGAATCTGCATGTCCCTGAGGGGCTTTTGGACCAAACCTCAGCTGTGGATTTAGGACGACAGAGGATGTGGCAGGGGACCTGGGTGCATAGTGCTGGCTGGGGACCTGGGATTGGGCTGGGACACGCACCTACTCCTTGGGAATGTGGCCGGTGCTGCCAGCTCCCTGGACATCTTCCTGGGGCAAAAAGCTGGGGCTCGTTGTGGGCGCCCCGCAGCCACGAGATGGCAGTGTGCCTGCGTGCGCTGTGTCCGGCGCGGGACACGTCCGCGGGGCCCCGGCGGCGCAAAAGCCATGAGGGCCCGACGCAGGAGGCCATCGCATTGCTGATGCCATGGTGTCACCTCTGGGCAGAGCCTGCTGAGGACTCGGAGGATGCGGAGGAGGAAGAGGAGGTGGAGAGTAAAGACCCGCCAAAAAAGCTCAAGAAGAAACTACCCAAAGAGCCCCCCTCGGGTGAGAGCCGGGAGAAGAAGCTGAAGCCAAAGGGTAAGTGCCCAGGGGACAGGGATGGCTTGAGCCCAGCCTTAGTGGGATGAGGGGTCCATAGCATTCCATCGCTATGCTCAGGCAGCTGTGGGGCAATTGCCTCCTCCCCAGTTCTGCCAATCCCTGTCCCCATCACTCCCTGTCCCCCCGTCTGGCCACTCATCAGCTTCTCCATTCCACCAGGAGACAAGGGTGACCTTGACAGCAAAGCCAAATCTGCCAAAAGCACCAAGAAGGAGCCAATGTCCATGTTCCAGGTGAATGGGGAGAAGAAAGAGAAGAAGATCAAGAAAAAAGGTACAGGAAGAGCAGGGAAAGTGGGTGGCAGCCAGTTCTGCTGCCCCATAGCATCACCCTGAGCTGACAGCACCCAGTGCTGCGTGACGGTGTCCTCCATATCTCCTCCAGCTGCCACCAGCAGTGATGAGGAGGATGATTCCGACTCCAGCACCAAACCCATCAGGTCGGAAAAGAAAAAAAACCCTGCATCCCTCTTCCAGACTGGTGGGGACCCCCCCAGGGAGAAGAAAACCAAAAAGAAAGGTGGGAGCCCAGCACTGGTGATGTGATGGAGGGTGATGGGTGCTGCAGGAGTGCGGGTGAGCCTGGCCATGGAGAGGGGTTTATGATCAATGGTTGTGGGTCTATGCCGATTTTTTTTCAGCAGTCAGGCTCTTCCCTCCATGCCCTGCCTGCAGCTCCTCCCAAAGCAGCCGAGAGTGAGGATGAGACCCCGGAGACCCCGCAGAAAAACTCCAACAAGAAGGGGAAAGGGAAGAAATCAAAGAAGGTACAAAGAAAACCCTTAGAGCCATGGGAGGCAGCAGCTCTTCCCCCCAGGGTGGGTTGAGCGGCTGAAGCATCATCCCTAAAGCTGCAGCACTACAGCCCAGGGGAGATGGGGAGCCATGAGCTGGGAAAGGAGCAGGGCGAATGTTTGGCTGTGGGGTCACCATCCCCTCTTGTGTTGCAGCCCAAGGAGGAGAGAGCCCCATCACCCGTCATTGAGGTGGACAACCTGGAGGAGTTTGTGCTGCGCCCGGCAGCACAGGGGGTGACCATCAAGTGCCGGGTGACACGGGACAAGAAGGGGATGGACCGGGGGCTTTACCCCACCTACTACCTCCACTTGGATAATGACAAGAAGGTGAGCTGGGGTTGGGATGTGGGGCTTCCTCTGGGGCTCTGCATCCACCCAGGAGCACCCTCAGGGTTTTGGAGGAATGCCTGCCTGCATGCCAGAGGCACCTCTCCAGTCCAGAGGAGGCCATGAGGATGATCAGGGGCTGGAGCACCTCCAATACAAAAACAGGCTGAGAACACTGGGGCTGTTCAGCCTGGAGAAGCTGCGTGGAGACCTCAGAGCAGCTTCCAGGGTCTGAAGGGGGCTACAAGGGTGTTGGGGAGGGACTCTTCATCAGACACTGTGGTGACAGGGCAAGGGGTGATGGGTTCAAACTGAAACAGGGGAAGTTCATGTTAGATATAAGGAGGAAGTTCTTCCCTGTGAGGGTGCTGAGGCGCTGGCACAAGGTGCCTGTAGAAGCTGTGGATGCCCCATCCCTGGCAGTGTTCAAGGCCAGGTTGGACACAGGGGCTTGGAGCAACCTGCTCTAGTGGAAGGTGTCCCTCTGCCTGTGGCAGGGGGCTGGAACTGGATGATCCTAAGTCCCTTTCCAAACCCAAACCAGTCTGTGATTCTATCCCACTGTGGTGGTGGGTCCCACATAGGGCTGTTTCCTTCCTCTGCAATTCCTCCTTTCATATCCATTTCAGGGTACCTGGGATGGTGAGCAAATGTTGGCTGGACAGCCACGCTGATGCCAGCTGGGCTCAGCCCCTCCTGCCCCATGGCCCAGCCTGCATTTTGGGGATCATCTCCAGTCCATGACTTGCCCAAGCTTGTGACAGTGACCTCTTGGGCCAGGGCTTGTGCAGAGGGCATGGTGAGCTGGGGACAGTGGTGGTGATGGCAGTGACAATGCCCAGTTCCCACACAGTCCCACTGTCCTCCCAGGTATTCCTCCTTGCTGGGAGGAAGCGGAAGAAGAGCAAAACGTCCAACTACCTTATCTCCATTGACCCCACTGACCTGTCACGGGGAGGAGAGAACTTCATTGGGAAGCTGAGGTAGGATTGGAGATGGCACCCCATTCCCACAGCACCCCATTGCTCCGTGGGTTGCTGGCTGTCCCAGGTGATGGCTGGGTCAAGCAGGAGGCTAAATTCAGCATTCCCTGTTGCTGGGTCCAACCTGAGGAGTGTCGGGGGGCCGGGAGGGGAAAACAGGCTTGTCTGGTTCCTCCGGGCAGACAGGTTATGGCTGGAAACGGTGCCCGGCAAGTCCCAGCGTGCTGCACCGCTGGCAGCCGCGCAGCAACGCGGGGGAGCCCCCGTGGTGACAGCACCCTATAACACCCCGATTTAGGGGTGCCCTGAACCCTAGCAAACAGCTAAAGGATGGGAAGGATGGCATTGGCCCTGGGTGTTGCAGCTGGAGCAGAGCTGGGATGGGGGAGAGAGGGGACTCGGTGGCACCAGCTGTGGCCATCTCCTGTCCTCGCTGCAGATCCAACCTGATGGGTACGAAGTTCACAGTGTTCGACAACGGTGCAAACCCCGACAGGGCCAACGCTGACTGGTCCAATGTGCGGCAGGAGCTCTCGGCTGTGGTCTACGTAAGGAGCCCCCAGGACCTCCTGGGCAGGCAGCAAGGGGGTCCCTGACCTGCACCCCTTCACTGGGCTGATGCCAGGGGGTGGCGGGGATGTGGGATGGGGCTGGATCCGTCCCTGAGCCCTCCTACAGCTGCAAAGAGGCTGCAGCCCGCAGCAGTTGCTGGTTTTAGGGATGGGGTTTCCTTTGCAGGAGACCAATGTTTTAGGGTTCAAAGGCCCCCGGAAGATGACGGTCATCATCCCTGGGATGAACTCTGACAACGAGAGGGTGCCCATCCGGCCCCGAAATGTAAGTTGGGGAGAAACTCCTTGGGGGCTGGATTTGCTGGGGTTCACCTTGGATTTTACCCTTTCTGGGCTATGGAAAAGATTTTAGGGGTCCCTGAAATTCAAAGCACCTCCCTGGGAGGTAGGAATGTGGTGGCTGTATTGTTTTCTTCATGCTGGACCCCAGCTTCCAGCTGGATACTGCTGCAGAGCATCCTCTGGGCACCCCATGGAGGGCAGTAGGGCTCTGGGTATGGTCACCCCAACTCTGCTCCCCACTCTCACCCTCCCCAGGATAATGACGGTCTCCTGATGCGATGGCAGAACAGAAACATGGACAACGTGATCGAGCTGCACAACAAGGCACCGGTGTGGAATGACGAGACTCAGTCCTACGTCCTCAACTTCCACGGCCGGGTCACTCATGCCTCCGTCAAAAACTTCCAGATCGTGCACAGCAGTGACCGTAAGCTGGGGATGGAATGGGGGGGTGGGGGGCGGGGCTGGGGAAGCACCACATTCAGCCAAACCCCCACTTCCGCCCTGCCCCACCACCGCCTCTTTTTGCTGAGGTTCAGTTTTCCCACTCATGGCTGCTTTTGGGGTGCTGGGGTGAAGCCACACAGCGCATGTAAAGGCACTGTATGGAGGCAAAGGGAGCGAGCGTCATCTGTTGCCAGGCAGATTAGGGCAAGGACAAACCCTGCGGGGTGCTGAGCACCCCCCAACACACAGCCACCCCCTTAGCCCAGGCTACCCCAGACCATCTCCCCAATACGCACCCCACGCTGCCCGCGGGTCACCCCAGGGTGCATCGCGCCCCGGGGACAGTCCCTC